TTGCTTTCATTTACCACCCCTTTCTTTCAATGACCTTTAAATAAGGGTTCATCTAATATATTTTTTATAGTCCTGCATAACTATCATATTGAGAGCTCTTTATTGTTCATCCAGGAGCATACTGCAACTTCTCTTGCCTTTTGAATTATGCTTTGTTATTTCCTATATGCTACTTCTGGAGGTATTAAAATATTTCAAGTTTGTATAATTAGAAAATCTTACTTCTAGTTTTCAAAGGTATGTTTGCTAAGTACAAAATTCAAAGAGGACAGATCTTTTCTTTCAGTCCTGTAATTAGTCTAGTTTCTTATACACTTAGTCCTTTTTTTTCTCTTTCTAATGTGGAATAAGATGCTATTTAATTTTGTTTTTCCATAGCTAATATTTTGTATGTATATGCTTTAATGATTTTTTTCTTTACAATAAGTTTTGGACAATTTCATTTTTGTGTATCTTGATATGATTTTATTTAAATTTCTTGTGCCAAAGGTTCATTTTTCTTGTAATTGCAGTATTATAAGTTGAACTAAATTCAGAAATTTTAAATCTTTAAATATTTACTGCCTACTTTCTACTTTGAGAATTCTAGTTATATGAATATAAGTTTCGTGGTTTTGACATAGTGATTATGACTGATCTGTAAATTCTTCATTTTTATTTGACAATTTTTATTATTATATTCATTCGTTTGTAAATAATTTATTTTCAATTTGCAATCTATGAAAAAATTAAAATTAAAAAAATAAAATATGAGACATTATTTCTCAAAAAACAAGAATATCAAATGTAACTAACTGAAATATATTTAGTAAAGCTTATACATTCAAATGATCATTTTTCAAAAGGAGGGATTAAAACTTAAAAAAAAAAAGTATTGGGTGCAGTGCCACATGTCTGCAATGTGTAAAGCAATGATGGCAAACCTTTCAGAGCTTTGCAATAGCTTCCCCACCACTGGTCTAAATACTTGGGAGGCTGAGGCAGAAGAATTCTAAGTTCAAGGCCAATATGGGCAACTTAACTAGACTTGTCTTAAGAATGTACTCAGTGACTGAGCACATTCACAGCACAGTCAAGATCCTAGGTTCAACCCCTAGTGCTGCCAAAAATTAAATTAAAAATTTAGATTCCAATCCTTGGACAGCACTGATTTCATCAACAAAAAATCACCAATTAGAATTTTTCCTGCCTTTCCCATACCAATCGTGTATCAGAGTGATCAACTAAGTTTGGAGCATGAAGAAAAAGGTTTCTTTTAGAAATATTTCAGTGTGGAAGGAAGAAATTAAAAATTACTATTTTGTAATTACTAGTAAAATAAATGATTGAAGCAACAATGATCCTGGAATCACATGTTTAAATAGCACTATATTCAAAACTTCAGTTTTCCTAACAAAACTACATGCAATTACAATTACTCATAGTTGGAAATCATTATTTCAGGAAACGCGCTGGAGAGATAGCTCAGTGGTCTAAGTGCCTGCCTGGCAAGTACAAGGACCTGGGTTTGATTCCTGGTACCACATGTAGTGCCAGCCCCCAAACCAAGCATGGTGGGACTCAACTTTAATCCCAGTGGAGGATCCCTGTGAGTTTGAGCTGCATAGCAATACCCTGTACCAAATAAAGAAAGAAAGAAAGAACGAACAAACTAAAAAAAAAAATTTTTTAAAGAATTTTTCAGGAAACAATACTTCATTTTTGTTTTCTTTACTACTTGGATTACAGAAAAGATGAGTAACTAGAATATTAGAACTAATTCTAATACTATTATTTTCTTTATCCCAGTGATTAGTTACCTAAGAAAAATGAAACAGAATTTTCTTCACCCTACTGGTTAGGGACTCCTGGATATCCCTACTTAATAAATTATTTAGGCCTGTTGTCAAGTTACCTAAGAAAAATGAAACAAAAGTAATTTTAAGAGGTTGCAAGGACCCGGGGAGATAGCTCAGCAGAATGAGCACTTGCCTAGCAAGTGCAGGGTCCTGAGTTCAATCCCTAGTACTACAAAAAAAAAAAAAAAAAAGAGGTTGCAAACTATAAAGTAAATTAAAAATTACATAGAAAGTCAAGGACATTGAATTTTTATGTTCCTATACTTAATGTAGTAAATCAATCCATTCAGGATAACCCAGGCACCTACTAACACACCAGCAAGTAGGTAAGCCATCAAAGAGTAATATCAGGCCTGCACCAAAAGGCTTTGAGGGCTGGCGAGATAGCTCAGTGGTCTAAAGTGCCTGCTTAGGCAAGTTTAGGCAAGCTTAAGCAGGCGCAGGGGACAGCAGTTCAATCCCCAGCACCACATGCTGTACCAGCCCTGCCCTCAGAGTGGGCTGAGTAGGCCAAAAATAAATAAGTAAAAAGAAAACAAAAACAAAAGGCTTTGAGAGCTAACATAAGAGGCTTGCACTGGCCAAAGATGAAACAATTTAAACATCAATAAGAATGCAATGGATTAAAAATTAACAATTTAAATGCTTGACTTCCTGACATTAAAAAAAGTTGGAGTTATGTGTAGTCACACATACCTGTAGTCCCTGTACTCCAGGAGACTAAGGCAGGAATATCTCAAGTTTGAGGCCAGCCTGGTAAACTTAATGACTTAGTGAGATCCTATCTTAAATTAAGGGGTTGGGATATAGTTCAGCGCAACAGTACTGGGTTTATTCCTAGCACCACTAATAATTTTATAAAGTGGTCACTTTTCACAATGCAAGGGAAGCAATTCTTTATTCTAAAAACTAGGAAAGAATGAACCAAATACAGTGGTAGCTTGTTTCATGAATGCTTTTGTTTGCAAACTATTTAGTTCACAAACAGAAGCATTTGACAAAATTTGTTTTTGTTTGGAAACTCTGAGGGGGTGACAAACAAAAATGTGAGCATCTTTTCCAAAATTGTGAAACAAGTTTATGAACTGAGGTACAGCTTTTTCATCATAGATATAGTTCAACAAGTAAAAAGGAATTAAAGTGAAATAGCACCATTTTTTAACCCTTAATGAATCTAGGTAATGATCACCAACGGACATTATATGCGTTTTGACAAAGAATACACTACCAATGAAGTCATCTTGAAAGCAAGAAACTGAAGTAAATCAATATAAATAAACTTCTAAAACTATTTCAACTGTTAAGAAATATAGGGGGCCTGGCCCTAGCTCAGGCCTTTAAGTGGCTGCTTCCACAAAGCTGTCAGCCTCAGGTTGCTGGAGTTCGAACCTCACACCTGCTGGCCAAAAGTGCCCTGAAGGCATTCGAGGAAAAAAAAAAAAAAAAAAATCCTTGGGCCAGGGAGATGGCTCAGTAGAATAAGCGCTTGCCTGGCAAGCACAAGGGCTTGAGTTCAATCCCTGGTTCCGCCAAAAAAAAAAAAAAAAAAAAAAAAAAAACTTTTGGGGCTGGTGAGATGGCTCAGTGGTCTAAAGCACCGACTTAGAACAAGCTTAGCAAAGCCCAGGGACCACGGTTCAATCCCCCAGCACCACATGCCAGCCAGCCCGCCCCCTGGTGGGCTGAGCTGGCCACACACACACAAATAAATAAATAAAATTTAAAAAATAAATAAATAAATAAATAAATTTCTAAAAAAAAAAAAAAGAAATATAAGATACTATGTTACAATATACCACAAGAATGCTATCAATAAAGTTCTGAGTGAAAACACTCTTAAGTGATATTTTTTCAATAAATTGAAAAATTAAAGAGATAAAAGGGGGACCCTACCATTCTAGTTACATGAGTGACAAAATTATTAAGAAACATAAGGAAATAATCAGAAAAGACAAGGCTGCATAGGGGCCAGGAGTATAGCAAGGCCCTGGGTTTGATTCCCAGTACTAAAAAGAAAAGGACAAGACTGCAGTTCCTGTGTTGGGGAAGTGAACGTAAGGGGCTGGCCAGGGTCCACTCTCCTGACATGTTCCCGAGGATGCTCACTTTATATGTAATTCAGTGAGCTGTACTCCTGTGCACTTTCCTCTATTTATGTTACCTTTAACAACAACAAAAATATTTTAATGGAATCATTCTAAATATAAGGACCATATAATCCTAATCATGCCAATAGTGTTTTTCTTAGCTGTTGTCATATACAAATATAAAAAATAGCTTTAAGAATCCTTTCAGGGGCTGGAGAGATGGCTCAGTGGTCTAAAGCACCTACTTAGAACAAGCTTAGCAAAGCATTAGGGACCGCGGTTCAATCCCCCAGCACCACATGCCAGCCAGCCCCGCCCCCTGGTGGGCTGGGGTCGCCACACACACACACACCTCTCTCTCTCTCTCTCTCTCTCTCTCTCTCTCTCTCTCTCTCTCTCTCTCTCAAATAAATAAAAAAAAAAAAAAAAAAAAAAAAAAAAGAATCCTTTCAAATATACTTACAATCCTTAAAAAAATAAGCTAACAATGTACTCAGTAAGGTTAGCTGTTACTGTTCTATGGGTTTATATTTGAAAACAAAAACCTCATACTTACTAGATTGTTGCTGTGGCTGTGTATTAAATCCTCCAAATCCCAGTCCAGTTCCCAAACCAGTACTTAAACCAGTACTACTTCCCGTTGTTGTTCCAAAACCGGTACCAAATCCAAAACCTTTGTTCTGAGTACCACCAAAGAGTCCTTTGAATGGAAAGTTGGAATTATGTTAGTTAAAAAAATTTGACCTTTACCAGATTTACTTGTACAAATGACCTAAGACAGCCTCTTACCAGTAGTGCCTGTGTTAGTTGGGGCAGAAAAGCTGAATGCAGAACCTGCAGCTGTAGATGTTGTCCCAAATCCTCCAAACCCACCTAGTTAAAAAGAGTAAAAACAGAAAGGAAGATTATTTTGTATACATAAAAGCAATTATTTTTCAAGTCTTTTTATAAGTAATTGCTACATGTAAAGTCAAAATATAATGATCTAAATTTTCTCTACTTTCAGTGTAAATTTTTGAAAAGCTATTCAACTAATGAGAGATCGATATACTGCCAGGGATATAGCTTAGTGGCACAGCACTTGTCTGGCAAGCGCGAGGTCCCAAGTTCAATTCCTGGGACCAATAAAAGGATCAATATACTGCAAGAAAGAAGCGGTGAAGTATTTTAAAGAAAAATATTCCAGTGTAATAATACACCTATCAACTACGTGTATTAACATTTACCAAAATATATTAAGCCTATTTGTATAATTCTAAGATAACAAGATAGGTAATTTTAGTACAGGGACTGAAAGTTAAAATGCCTACCACATTTACACTAATAAAATCTATAAGTACGTATTTACTGACAGGTAGAACTGTTTAAAGTCAAGTTTTATTTTTTAAATTTTTTTTAAAGTCTAAGTTTTTAAAAAATGGCAGCAAATTCTAAATTTCAGTTAATTATTGTTGTAGAATGGTAGGTTATATGGTACATTTCCATATTCCTCTACAAGAAATAAGAAATCTGGATTTTCTATGTAAAATGTATAGGATTTTTGTTGTTTGTGGGTTTTTCTTTTGTGCTGGGATTGAACCTACGGTCTCACTTATGCTAAAAAGGCCAAATATCCTATCCCTAAGCTACGTTCTTAACTCAAATTTTTTAGGTTTGTAAACACTAACTTGTCTTTTGCAACAAATTCAAATGTTTTAAAATACTATGACAAGCATATATGAGCTGACTTTTGATTTTATAATCTTGACTTTGGTAAATTAATTTGTATCTACATTAGCTTGTATTAAAGGTAAGTCTGTGTCAAGACTAATCTTTTAAAAGAAACATAGCAATTATCTATTTAATAAGAAGATATAAAGAGAAAAAAATCAGCAGTGGTATGGAAGGTGAGCAGAGCTACTACAGGCCTCTCTCTGTATCACAGGTTGGGATGGGGACTGACAAATTTCTTTTTTCAAAAAAACTTATTTATTTGGTACAGGGTCTCCATAAACAGCTTGGACTCATGGTGACCCGCTTGTCTCAGCCTCCCCAGAGCTGGCATTTTAGGCATGTGCTACCACACTCTGTTTCAGTGGCCCGCACAGCCCAACTGGCTCAGCGTGCAGTACCAGAGATGGAACACAGGTCCTTGTGCTTGCCAGGCAGGTGCTTAGAACGCCCGGCTATCTCCCCAGCCCCTAAGAAATTTCATTTTTTAGAAAATCTGGAAACAAAATTAATCTTAACCACATCTAAAAAACAAAAACAAAAAAACTTAACCACATCTAATAACATATGAATGGAATGCTAGCCAATAGAAAATCTTTTTTAACTTACTGCCAATCTTTGAGCGATTACCAATAATGGGGTAAAAAGACTTTCAAGGCAAATGTTTCAACTATTAATTCCAAATTATACTGCAGGTTTTATGAGTTCCAACTTTACTTTCGTTATTTCTAACGAAGAGAGATAGATTCATCATTGTAACAATGAAAGATATAAAACAAAAAAACCAAAATCTTTTGATTATTCTGGTTTGTAAAATTACTCAGAGTAGACTGCATATTGTATATGAAGACATAAGCACAGTCTGTTAACTTATAGGTTTTATTGCAATATTACAAACAAAACATCTAGATTAAAACCACTGAAAGTGTTAAGTACTATTTTTAGTCTCATTACTCATTTCCACAGAATAACTATGATAGAACCTCACTGGCTACACAATAAAAACACTCGTCAAGGGGCTGGGGCGATAGCTCAGTGCAGTAAGTGCTTGCCTGGCAAGCACAAAGTCCTGAGTTCGATCCCTGGCACCATCAAAACCAAACAAACAAACAAACAAAAAGAAAAAAACACTAGTCAGTATCTTACCACACTCCATATCACAAATGCTTTATTAATAATAGTGGATTTGCATAGATGCAAAATGAACATTTCTATCAACCTACTGAAATCCAATTAACATATAAAAGTAACTAAAAACATCAATTATTACAACTTAAATGAACATGAATTCAAACAAATATTAACAGGTTTATTTGTTATTGTTGAATTATGAACTGGATGGCTTTATTCAGAAACACAAATTTCCAAGTCAGGTTTTACCCAGTGCCAATTTTAAGCAAGTAGGGAAAAGTAAACATACCAAAAGTGAACACTTCAAATATATCTTAATAATAACGAATTGTTTTATTTTTGGAAATTTCAAGTATTTTTTAGCCCTCATGCTAAAGTAATATACACATTGCAAAACAAAGGAACAAAATGCCTGACTTTCCAAATAAGTTCCTGCCAGTAAATGTTTACCATATGCATATAATTGGCATGGGCATAAGTAGCATAATGTAAAAGAATATGGACAATAAATTCATATACGAGCAGCTGAAAAACATTCTATGAGATCATTGTAAAGTAGACATAAACCTATTTTAAATTTAGATATATATCAATTATATTTTGCATTTTGAAAATATTTTAATAAACTCCAAACAATCCATTGTTTAATCCTCATAATTATCCTTTCAATGCGAAGCTACCTATTCTACCTTTTACAGTGTGTTATCGGAGAAATTAAATTGTTCTTCGAGAATTTCCCAGTAAAGAAACCAGTAAAAAAATCTGAGATTCTATAAGTATGTTTTATAGAATGCATCCTAATCTGGTGAGTTCACTAAAGAAATATATTTTTATAATACAGCTTTAAAAACAAGACAGATTAATGCTGTTCGTATAAGACTTGTTTCTCGTAGAAACAACAAAGACAATGATATTCTGATGAAAAATGCAGGGTAAAAATGAAGTGAATGCAGGAGTCCAAGAATCCCAGGCAAAGGGGCATGGGCCTGACGAGTAAGCTTACACTTTGGAAGTTATGTCTAATAATTTGAAACACACATTATTCACAAAATAAGAATTCACTTAAAATTCTAATCATTTGGAAGATAGTTTATTCAGCTAAACGCAAAATTAATAAGGGCACATTCTAACTTGCAAAAACTTCCAAAACGTTTCAGACAGTCAAAACAAATGATTGTGACATTAGGAAATCAATTTATTTCCCTCAGACAAGTCATTATTCTTTCCCAAACTATAGGGATCACGAAATATTCTTGGACTCCAGCCCCCGACACTCGTTACACGTACGACCCGCAGTATCTACCTGCACTTGCCAGACTGTTAGCAAAATTGAACGGAGACGCCGAGGTGGTAGAAACACCGAAATTCCCAATATTAAAGTTCACTGCAGGGTTAGCAGTTAATCCGAAACCCCCAAAATTAAACCCACTGGCGGTAGAGTTGGCAGTCTCAAGCCCACCAAATCCTGATAGGCGTGTAGGCAAGGGAGCAAAAGTTTTAAAAGGGGGAGAAGGAAGAAGAAACAAGAGAAAAAGCAAGATAAGGATTAGAAGAATCAACAGGGGCTTCATAGGAGGAAATAAACTTGACTTCGTTCCAAACCAGAAGCAGAGGAGTCTGGGACAGCAGGCAGACCCGGGAGGGTGCACACCTCCACCAAGGGCCCTCCGGGGCTGGCTCCCACCCGGCCGCAGGGCAGCCCCGCGATCCCCAGGGGTGCTCGCCGCCCCCGCGCATGCGTGCCGCCAGCTCGCGAGGCTGGGCGGGAGTCTCAGTACCGGGAAGGGGCGCGCCTCCACCCGCCCGGATCGACCTCGCCGCGGAGCGAAATCACCGCGGGAGCACTGAGCGCCTGCGGGACCGCCGCATCGCGCGAGTCTCCGCGGCCCCTTCTGGACCCCGCGCCGCCGCCGCCCGCCTTTTTCCATGCCCCTAAAGTCTTCTGCGCGGGCTGCAGCTCCCCACCATGCCCACGCCGCAAAGTCTAGGACTGAAGGGGCAGACAAAAGCCGTCTTCACTTTGTAGGGGAAGGTCTGGTTAGAAAACTCACCTGCGGGTGCTGCGGTGGCTGCAGCGGTGCCCGAGGTACCCGAAGGTGTCCCAAAATTGAAAGCCATGTCGCGGGAGCCGGGGGCCGTCGCGACGCGACGCCCAGTGCGTTCTTCTTTTCCGTCCGGCGGGGAACCGGCCTGCCGAGCCACGAAGTTCCGCCTAAGAGGCGGGAGCCGACCGAGGATGTGGCGGGTGGTGAGTCGGACAGAAACACCCCCGACCCCGTTCGTTTCCGGTGAAGGAGTGGCTTCCCAGGGAAAGTGAGGTGCTGGGAGGCTCTGGGCTGAACCTGGAGGAGCGCGTGGCGGGGTGTCGGGAGAGGCAAAGGTGGGTCTAACAGAGGCCCTGGTTTCTGGCTTGAACAATGAGCCAAATGGTGCCGCCATTCCCCAGTAATGCGAGTTGGAGAGAAAAGGAGCTACCTTTTTTACTGACTCGAGGACAAGCTGGCTAGCGAGATCCAGCCGGTGTTTGGCTATGTGGGGCTGAGCTCCAGATGGAGGCTGGAATTTGAAGTCAAAAAATAAAGTAGCTTGTTAGGGAGAGAGTATCAGGGGAGAAGTTGCATGTGGGCACTGTTGTTTGGTGGTGATAAGGACAGAACCCAGGGCCTTGTCTACTCCTTTTTGTTTTAGGACAGAGTTTTGCTAAGTTTCCCGGGCTGGCCTCTAATTTGAAGTAGTCCTACCGTGGTCACTGAGTATCTAGAATTATGGACATGCACCTGCGGGTATGAGCACTAGCGCGCACACACACACACACCATGGCCTAAACCCAGACTCTTACCATAAGTATTGCCATGGTAAATTTTAGCGGACGCCAGGGTAGGAAAAACAGGCCTGCGTGTAAAACAAGTAACCATATGGAGGAAATATACCCCGAGAAAGCGCTGACCCTAAACAAGCAATAAATATATTATCCTGACAGGCAGGATGTCTGCTGATCTAAATGCCTAACAAGCAATATACATGTATCATTTTGACAGGATATCTGCTGATCTAGCTAACAGGATGCATACTATACATTTTATTTTTACTGTGTGACAAGCAGGATATATTACATATTTTCTTTATATTTGTTTTATTTTTGTTTTTCTCTCCCCTCTCTATATACACTTCATGACCTCTGGTCAAGACCGCTCACTTAGGCTCTGAAGTAGGAGTCTATGCTGACGGTCGCTGAACTCAGCTAATAAAATATCTTCAAATTTATAATTGGCCACTTGGATTCCTATATTGATTATGAACCCACAACAACACCCACATCCTATCCTTTTCTATATTTCACTTTAAGACAAGGTGGAAGAAGCTGGGCTTGGATTTGAGCTCCTCCTGCCTCAGCCTGGATTAGAGTGTGCCACGATGCCTAGCTAAATACCAATTTTCAGAGGAGAGCATAGGGGGAGTCAGATACTGTGGCCAAGTCTGGCCCACAACCTGTTTTTGTGTAACACCTTACTGGAACCCAGGCACATCGTTTGTGTTTACAGCTGCTTTTAAGCTTCAGACAATTGACTGGTTGTGATAAAAAATGTACTTGTAACACTGTTAAAGATCAGTTAAAGGTTATTTTCAATTTGTATAGAAAATCATAAAATTGGTAAGTCATTGGATGGGGTCTGAGGAGGTCCGTGAAAGAACATGAGGACCCCAACTTGCTCTCTATCCTAAGAAATTTGTGACTTTGTCACCAAAAAAAAAAAATTTTAGGATGCATCAGTGAGAGACAGAGAAATGACAAAGTTAGAGAACAACAGAAGCAGGGCTTTAGCTTGAGAGGCTAAAGGAGGCATAACTCTGATGACCATAATATCCCATTAACAAAAGGACAGCATTAGCTTTTATGGCATTGCTGGGGTGAGCCAAGCACTGGTCTGTTGCCTTTGGAGCTAAGTATGGTTTGATTAAGTCTTAAGGGATTTTCTCCAGTAGGAGCAAATGCCAGAAAATCCTGTCATTTTTCCCCTGCTGTTAGTTTACCTGGCTCTTGCAATAAAGCTAGGGAATAGGGGGCACATTTTATACTGTAAGCAAGGGAAGGGTGACCATTAATCATGGGAGGTCAATTTGACTGGATTAAGAGATGCCTAAAGATTAATACAACCCAGTTCTGGGTATGTTTGCAGATGGCACCAACTACTAGGCTTGTGTCCTGGATGAAATAAAAAGGGGAAAAAGTAAGTCTGCCCATTTTTAAAGAAGCTTAGTCATTCACGGACCTTTAACCTTGGGCTGGTGCTGCACCCTTGATCCCTGATGTGCTACAGCTTCCGGCCTCCTGGGCCGAGCACTGATGAGATCCCCAGCTCGCCAATGTGCAGAGGGCTGTTATGGACTCCCTGCCTCTAATCCTGGGAGCCTACCTAATATATCCCCCTGCATAATTATTTGTTTTCTATTCTGTTCTTCTAAAGAACCCTAACTAAAATGGCAAGATAGAGAAGAAAAATAAGATGTCTCCATTTCACTAAGATTCAAGAATTAAGGCTTGCGGATCCATGTTCCCTCTTCAGTGAGGGTACCTGCCCTGTTCTAAAGCCAAAACTTTTCTTTTTTCTTTTTCAAGTTTGTCAACCTCAGGGCTGGGGATATAGCTCAGTGGTTCAGTGCCTACTGGGCAAGCTTGAGGTCTTGAGTTCAATTCCTGGTACCAAAGACAAAGTTTATCAACCTGACCTAAACTCTTGCAGCAGCCCCTGCATTGCAGTGGGCAGGGCTTCCAAGTATTACCTGAGGAGTTCATTCTGGATTGCCTGCAGAATGAATTTGCTATGGCTGCATTTTCCCCCTTCTTGGAAAAAGGCTGCATCCAAACTCAGGTTCCCAAGGGACCAATACCTTCTCCCCAGCAGTAGAAGCTCCTCCATTCTAGGACAGCTGGCATTCCCAAACAACTGCAAACTATTGGCATGCCAAAGCCAAACACTTACTGCTTATTAACTCACATATGCCCCTTGCATAAGACTGGCTCTTCCCTCATGTGTATTAAGCGAGAATAGTAAGGACAAAAGTTTCCCTACTGAGATAAAGCTGTTCTGGCTCTCTGCACACCAGTCCATGCGATGCCAGCAGGATGGCAGGTCTATACCTTTTTTTTCCCTAGCAGTTTGACCATACACAGTTTAAATCTCTCCCATAAAGCACATTCCTTAGCCCCTACTATGTAGCTTCTTGGAATTTACCTGGAAGTGTGGTACACAACAGCCATCCCTGAGAAGACCCATCCTGATGCTGGTGGGAGAGAAACTTAGCACAAGAGTGTCCTCACCCATGTTGACTGCCAACCCATTCACACTGTGGTCAAAGTGGGACTTTGTAAACAAATCTGCAGTCTCACCCATTGTATTCTCTAAACCCAATTAAAATCCTTCCGTAGCTTCCCAGTGATCTTAAAATAAGCCAATACCAGAATCTTAAATGTGCCTTGACGAGACCCTACGGGACATTATCCTTGTATGTCTCCACCCACATCTGTTGCTCTTCCTTCTCTCGACTCTCACCAAACATGTTCTTTATGCATTATGAACATTCCCTGTTGACTGCTGGCTGAAATGCTTTACTTTTACGTAACTCCAACTCTTAGTCATGTTCTCAACTAATGTATGAGCTGAGTATCAACTGAATTGAAAATTAACCTGTGTGATTATTTGTTTTCATTACTATATTATAAGATCTGTATGTCTCTTTTCAGTTGCCAGTAGTCTAGTTTGTAGTATCTGGTATAAAGTAGGCTTTATAATAATAGTTGAACATATTTTTAGATACATTCTGGTAAAAGTCAGGCCTTGGTATCACACTGCAATTGGATTTCTATGAACTGTCTGGAAAAGGCAAATCTATTCAAACAAGTGGATTAGCAACTGCCAGGGTTGGGGGTAGGAACAGGAGTGGCTGTAAACTGGATGAGAGACTTTAGGTGATGAAAATGTCCTAAAACTGCACAACTCAGTGAATTTACTAAAGCTCATTTTATTTTATTTATTTATTTATTTATTTATTTATTTATTTATTTTTTGAGACAGGGTCTCACTATGTAGTTGAGGCTGGCTTTGAACTATGTAGCCCTGGTTGATCTCAAACTCACTGCAGTCCTCCTGCCTCAGCATCTTGAGTGCTGAGATTATAGGTGTGCACCACTACACCCAGCCTAAAGCTCATTTCAAATGGGTAAATTTTAGGATATATAAATATCTCAATAAAATAATTTTAAATTAATGTAGTTACTACTTAAAATGTGAATTTTATCTTGTTCTAATTGTGTGTATATGTTTTTGGACTTTGTATTCTATATTACTCACCATGTATACTTGCTCAATTACTGTACGTGAATATATAATAAGTATTAAAACCTTAGTCTTTAGATTATATTTGCAATCCCAGGCACCACATGTCTTGCAGGCCCTGCCCCGGGCATGGTGGCACACACCTGAAATCCCAACGCTGGGGAGGCTGAATACAGGAGGATCACTACAAGACCAAGCTGCACAGTGAGACCTTGTACCAAATATACAAAAATAAATAAAGAGTATATTTTCAGTGCCATGTGATTATATTATTTTTAAGAAAGAAGAAACATGTATGAGGTGCATACCTTATGACACAAGCCAGCTGAAATTAGATTTAGGATTTCTAGGAAAGACATATGCTAGGAACCAAGTGTTCTTGATACATAAGGATATTTGTAATTTGAGCTATGACTTTTGTGATTGGATTCCCACTGATTTCAGGAATAAGGTGCATTGTTAGGATAAGAAAGGTTTTTAAAGGAACGTGAATTTTTGGATTAATAACTTTAGGACCAATGTCCCCAGAATCAAAAGCCCTAGAACCTGTCCAGCAGCTTTCTGGTCCTCATGAGCCCTCTGTGTGAGCTTTGCCTTAGTTATGAGTCAGTCCCCAGAAGCAGACCTGCTCTGGAGGCTGAGGACATTAATGCAGGCATGGTTTTGGAAGGAAGCAGTAGCGAGGGGCGGGGCAGACAAGACACAGAATGCAGAGGAGTTCATGGGTAGCCCTGCACTTAGAGCCTTCAGAATGAGCCTGAGAACTGTTCCTGTGGGGCCTGGACCACTGCTGAGCTGATGGCTGCCCCCTGTGGGTTAGCACCCTGGTATCACTGACTCTCCTGTATTCTTGAGAGGTTTCCCAGACTCTGAAGAAGGCCCAGTGGCAAAAGCCATGTCTGGGACCTCCTGGGTAGGACTCACCCTCATTCACAGCTGAGTGGAGATCAGACGTGACCTGGACTGTGTTACTCAGAGCTGTGTCTTTTGAGCATTTTTTAAAATAGACTGTAGACAAATGGACACCATTCTCAGTGTACTTTTATATAAAGTTTTTATTAGTGAAACATTTCCTTGTGTTAAGGGTAGAAGTAAAATAAGAGTTATGTGAAAGGAATCAACTGTACAAGCAGCATGAAGAGCACTCTGGTCAGTGTTCTCTTTCACAGGCCTAAGTAGTTCACTCCAGTAATCATGCCCAGAGGGCCTACAATGGGGATCACCTTTTGCACAATTCATCTCTTAAGCAATTAAAAGCTAGCTTCCCTTAAGTAAAAACCCCAATAGGGGTCAGTCATGTAGTGCTGGTCCTACTTTGACCACTAGTGATCTTCTAGAACAAAAACAAAAGCCCAGAGCTAACAGGGGCACGACCTATAACTCCCGTCCCAGTTTCCCCTGGCTATCATTCTGTGATTGCTGACAATTCTCACAATCACAGCATGTTGTTGAACAGCTAGCTATTCTCAACCAAAAACCAAACAAGTAAATTCATCTTCCTAACCAACTTGGACTTCTTACTATAGTGTATGGGTTTGTCAGATTTTTCAGAAGGAAAATACCAAATGTGGTTTTCAACAGTAAATAAAAATAATAATGTAAATATGAAATAAATGTTTGGATTTTCTTGCTTTATGTGTACATGATTAACTAGTGTCACATGAAGCAGGGGTGGTGAACCTGAGGAACACGTGCTGCAGCAGGCTGGATCACTGAAAGCTCTGAAAGCATCACTGACTTAAAAGTATTTAAAAATCTCCTCTTCACAGATGTTTACATTCTGAAAATAGGACTAAACCAACGCATATTCTCTGCCTGACTTATCCATTATCTTGATGTGGACAATAAATGCATAAGGAATAAGATATGCCAATTATCAAGTTAAATACAGATAAACCCTAGCCTAGATGTTTGGAATTACTGAAGGTCAAGTTTTTTAAATTTAGACATGTTGCATGCCATCTAAAAAGTTGGTATCTCTAAAAAGTTTTCATCTTGATTTATAGAAAAGTTCAGAGTTTAATGCATTGTCCTTCAAAAAGGAAAACATAACACATTGCTTTGGTATAACAATAGGAAGACTGGGCATGGAAACTAAAATGACTTAGTACCTCTGTACAGGGATAAGGAGCTATGGAGACTTCTATAATTGTTTTTTTCACTAAAAACCAGGTTTTTTAAAAAATCTATTGGAATAATTGAGTCAGGAAATTTTGTAAGCTCTTTTCCAGGAAACTCGGCTTTTCAGTAAAAATCAGTATGGAACTTTGAGAATCAAATGCTATGCTCTTAATTCAGGCTGAATTCTGAACTCTATAACATAACAGTGGTTTTGCCTATTCTTTTGCCTTTGATTACACTGCAAGAGATTTTTCTTTAAAGTACTTTCTGTGCAGTACCTGAAATACCATCCTGTCAGAAAAATGATTGTCATGGGAAATGGCACATTTTTCTCAGTGACAATGAACCATGAAACACTGGCAAGCATTGAGTCTCAGGAAAGATTATAAGACAGTTTCAAAGTTACCAAGAAGACCGCCCCAGAAGAAATATCTGTCTGCTCTAGATTTTCTGAAATGTGTAACTTGGGTTGTGAATGAATAGATTTCCAAAAGTCATAATTTTACAAATAACCATTCAATCGTATTAATATGAATCTTATTTGGCAGGGGTGACTGGGCAAAAATCACTGATTACATTCTCCCAGAAAATTTTACATATCAAAATAATTTTGACTAAAGAATAACAGTTACTAAGATATGTTAAAATGTCTGTACTTATCCCTACCAACATTATTTACACATTCTCTTGGTTCACAAAAATACAACTTAAAAAATCTTACAGCACTTATCACTGTCCACTCATGTATACTACCTCACTCAGTCCCTTCCCTGCTTGATTCCTCTCATTGAATTTTTTTTTCCTGGGGGGTGGAATTGAACTCAGGACCATGTGCTGCCAGGCAGGCACTTATGCTGCTGAGCCATCTCCCCAAACCCCTACTTGATTCCTACCCAGTATAAAAGTAGTCAGAAGACCAAGTTATTTTCCTGGAGGTGTTATGAATAGGTTAGCATGAGATGCAGTATATACTATTTTAAAAGAAAAAATCAAATGCATTTGAGTCCTGTATCAGGTAGGTTTACCATTTTACCCTGGGTTCCAAACTGTTAACTTCTGTTTAGGGAGAGAAATAAGAAGTACAACATAAAGTGGTACATATGTACTTGGAGCACACAACTTGGTGAATGAAGCACACTAACTAAGGTTAGACCAGAGAGTGTTAACAAGTGATGCAGTGACAAATTGACAGAAATGGTTACAAACTTCCATAGCCACCAGAACCCAGTCTCCCCCCCAAAAAAAATTACTATACAAGTTTATTAAATACTTGCTAGACACATGAAAAGTCAGTCTTAGAAACCACATGATTTTATGAAGCATAATGGCAGCCTGTCCATTACCGTCTGGCCAGAACACTCCTCTCAGCACCTGCTGGCACCATCTTCTTCCCTCCTCTTAACGCGTACAGAGCCTGTGTGGACATGGGCCCTGCCGTAGTCCAGCTCGGGACAGCGCACACATCATTTCACTGAGTGGGGACGATGATTAAGTTCTTATGAGGGGGGCTCTTTCATCTGCTGTTCCCTGAGACACAGGAGAGAGGCAGGGAAGTTAGGTCTCATCAGAAATGACTCACCAGCTGTGAAAAGTTGTGGGGGTGGTGTGGAGGAAGGCATAGGGGATAGCTAAAAAGGAGGTTCATCCTGCTCACCTCTCTTCAGCCTACTGCTGCTTACTCTTCCCTTAAGATCCAGACCTATCCTCAAGTAAGCTTTCTCTAGCCAAATATTCCCACCCAATGCCAAGCAGAACCTTCCTCTATGTTGGTCCAACCTTTAAATTTATTGTACTCCATTAAATTTGCCTCCTTCCTGGTTTGAAACCTACAAGAAGGGTATTTTGGAGGTCATAGGTGCTCAGTAACGCTTGTTGATAGAGGAAGATGATTGACTGTAGGAGTGGTAATTAACATTTCCAGAAGGTTTCATTTATACTTAGTTTTTCATTGTTTTGCAGTACATGGTATTGAACCTAGGGCCTTTGCACTGAACTACATCTCCAGGCTTTTCCTTTTTTTTTTTTAATTTTGAGGCAGAGTCTCATTAAATCACCAAGGTGCTCCTGTTGGGCTCAAACTTGCATTCCTTCTACCTCAGCCTTCAGAGTGCTGGGATGTACAAATGTGTGCACCCACACCTGGCTTCATTTGTACTTATGAAAATCTCAGTAGCTGCACAAATTCAGACTGGAAGAGTCACAGGTAGAAGTGGTAAGCTAGTCTGCTTAATGGCTAAGTCAAGTTAAAGACATTAGACGGGTTAAAAAGCATCATGGAAGAAAGTAGAATACACCAAGCTAATGTATTCCAGTGACTTCAGCCTAGTTCATTTCCTCCTTCACATCTGCTCAGAAACTTAATTTAGGGGGGACAGGAGGTTTTAAAAAATGTCTGTTGTGAGGAAGGAAGCTACTAAGGATGTTAGAAGGGTTTCTACAGAAAAGGCTCCTTAAAGGTCTTCAGACACATGTATTAAACACTTGCTAGACACATGAAAAGAAACCACATGATTGAGGTTTCTTAGGCCACACTAAGAGAAACCAACCTAACTGTTCTTTCCACCAGGAGAGTCATTAGCATGCACCAATCTCCTATTTTGCAATGGTGCGTCAAGCACAGGATCTTCTGATTCCTTCTGAACAGGTCTCTGGGTGCCTTGCTCTATAATATTGGAGGTATTTTATCATACTTATTAACTATTTTCTATACCATCTAATCCTCACCATTACTCCATTTTATGGATGGAGAAACTGAGGTACAGCTTGTAGGGTCACATAGCTGTGTAGTGGCAAAACTCATTTGTCTCCTTTGATTTGCAATTGCTACTTTATTTGGTACAGGGACTTACTGTGCAGCTTGGACTCACAGTGTTCCTCCTGTCTCAGCCTCCTCAGTGCTGGGATTATAGGTGTGCACCATCACTGCCAGTTTTGGGCTGTCATGGCGCACCCGGGGTTCCGGCGCCAGCATGACATGGGTTACTGAGGATCAAACCTGGATCCTTGTACTTGCCAGGCAGGTGCTTAGACTGCTTAGCTATCTCCCCAGCCTACTGGCAGAACTCATTTGAACCCAGGCAGTATGACAATAGAGCCCAGGTACTTTGTTGTTACGTACATATTCTTCCTCTTCTTTCAGGTTATTGTTTTTATAAATGTTAAGATAACTCCCACAGAATACATCCAGGGATTTCACTCCCACCAAGAACACCTGAAATCCTGAGAGGCACCATCTGTCACCCTGCCTTCTTCGACACAGCACCTCGCTTACCATTTGGCACAGCAGTGATAGACTACGAAATCACTGTGCCCTCATAAAATCCCAGAATCCATCCAAGAGCCCCCAGATAATCCTTTTTTAAAAAGTAGCTAAAGAATTTCTCCAGTAAACATATCCAAGAAGGGGGAAGTTCCCTTAGCCAACACTTACCTCATCCATAGATTGCTGTCCTCGGCACGCAAGCCAGGTAAAAATCAAACCAAATAGGACGCCCAGTGCCATGATGATGTAGGGTATATTGGTGATAATCAGAGTAGTATTAATCACAGACTTAAGTCGCCTTGCAGTCTCTTTATCAATGAGAACACTCTAGAGAAGCAAGAGCATAGTAACTAAGTATCCAGCACTTAACAGCTTTTTTGTATGTCTTTCAAATCATCAAACTTGATTATGCCCTCTTGTTAGCAGGCTAGATATACTTAAAGCCCATTTATAAACTAAACAGGAAATTTATTATCTTTTCTACTGAAAATAGGTATTACTCAACACCGAATGGAAAATTAGAGAAGGGCATCCAGAAATGTTGAGATAATTTCTTTTATCTCAAAACAAAATCTAGCTCAGCATTAGTTTTCTTCCAGAAGTTTCTTCTGGCTGCCTTAGCATTAATGAAAGGTCCATTCACTAAGCCTCCACCTCACTCTAGAATACTTCCCACTGTCTTGGCACTTTCCAAGATTGTTTGTTTCCTGGTGACTTTGAGGTCCCTGAATGTAAAATATCTCAGTCATCTCCACATGGGGTATAGCAATAAGCATCCAGTATGCACTCAATTAATACTTATTAATTACATGAATTAATGAAACACAAAGATGGTTGAGTGGAAAGGATCAGTTCTCTCTTGGTTCTTCTACAGTCATCAGGACCAGAGAGTGGTTAAGCTGTGGGTTAACCAGAATTCTGGAGGGCTGCTTGCTAAGGAAAGATACCAGAATAACATGTTTCGGTATATAGGCAGAGGAGGTACTCTCACCTAGTGTCATGAGTGAGGTATCTGAGGACTTAACTCCATAAAAATGATGGACAATAATTCTGGGTTAACTTAGGCTTAATTTCCATCAGACTGAGTTAGGTTCAGTGATAATTTTTTCAATAGTGGCTAACATCCCTTGGGTCAGAGTTTCCCACTCTATAAAAAAGTTGTTGGGACAGTAGTCTCCAAGGTAACTGCCAGGTCTTACATTTCATTTTTGTACACAAGAGAATAGGCAAGCTCATTCAAGGAGGCAGCCTAAGTATGAGGTTTCACTCCTTCCTAGCTTTTAACAAAAACAAAGCAAAAGTTGGGGGTAGAGAGAATTTCAAGAATTCCACTACTATGAAGTTAAGTTTGCAGAAAAGTTCTGCATTTTCAGAAAGTTCTATTTTCATGCCCTTCCCCACAAACAATAATGTGTGGTCCCAGAGCAATCCCAGTAAACACTGCCTTCATTTTCCTTTGAAACAATAAAGCCTCATCTTAGAATTATAATCACAGATCCTTCAAAAGATATATAAATGTAGCCACCAATATAATGCTAAATGCTGGGAAAAAGACATAAACCTGCCATCTGTGGTAGGTTTCAACTATTTAATCTGACCCTAACAGAATTCCAGGAACCAACAGGCATTTAAGGACAGCTGTGTTCATCCCACAGAGACAGGCTTATCAGTGATTTACTCTGAAGTCCATGCTTATCTTCTGTTATTTCCTAAGAGTACTATAAAAGGCACAAGTTTTACAAAAGATAATGCATTAAAATTTTTAAGAAATTATTGGAAAAAATTTTACATTAAGTAAAAAATATTAAGTTGGTTTTAAATTATGTGAGTAGTGACTTTAATATTTTCTTGCTAATCTGTTAATAAATTTTCTGCAAATAAGTTTTTATCTTTTGTTTTCTAAAAAACATTTTTAAAATGGTTTTGCAAATAACAAAAGTCTGCCAATTGAGAATTTATTGCATTTTTCCCCTTCAAATCTGAGCAGAAAGGCGGGGATACAGCTCTGTAGTACAGCACTTGCTTGGCAAACTCAAGATCCTCAGTTCAATTCCATTTACCAAAAAATTGGGCAGAAGAGCAGAGGAAAATGGGGAAATAGCACTCTAGTGACTCTAACATGTAATCCAGAACAGAATTTATCACAGTTGTCTTAAACTGGCTGGATTTCAAAGGAGACAAAGCCGGGCTTCACTGGGCATCTGGTCGAGCTGGCTCTGTTCTGCTTCTGCAGATCTGACAGCACTTTACTTGCTTCTCCCAGAACACCCCCACCCACTCACCCCCCATCCACCCTCCCAGGGGAGTTTTATCCAATTAATGGTCTCCTGAAGGAAACTTTGTTACATTTCTCACAATCAACTCCCAGATAGCAGGGTCATGTTACCATCTAAGAGAAAATTTCTGAGAACAAAGAGCTCTTAAGAAGCCATTTCTAGCTTTTTTTCTTCCCACGAGAGTCAGTCTGGTGATTGCGGGACGACCGAGGTGGTCTGTGGGCCTTGTGCGAGGCGCTGCTGCCACCGCTGCCTACTCACGGTACGAAGACAGCATTTGAAGAGTGTATCATGAATCCCAGTATGAAGCAGAAACAAGAAGAAATCCAAGAAAATGTAAAGAATAAGCCTGCGCCAAGAAGAACTCTGAAGATGATTCAGCCTTCTGCAGCTGGATCTCTTGTTGGAAGAGAAAATGAGTTTCCTCAAGGCTTATCCAAAAGGAAACATTCAAATGACCAGTTAACACCTAAGACTTCAAGCTCTGGAGCAGTTATTGACCCAGAATCTGATGAAAATAAGAATCATGGAGGAGTCACCCAAGAAGCATTTGATCTTATGATTAAAGAAAATCCATCTTCTCAATATTGGAAAGAAGTGGCAGAAAAACGAAGGAAAGCTCTCTATGAAGCCCTTAAGGAAAATGAGAAACTTCATAAAGAAATTGAACAAAAAGACAATGAAATTGCCCATCTGAGAAAGGAGAATAAAGAATTGGCAGAAGTAGCAGAACATGTACAGTATATGGCAGAGGTGATCGAGAGACTGTCTCGTGAACCTCTGCATAGCTCTGAATCATCTGACAGCCAGGAATTTGATTTTGGAGAGGAAATTGCTGAGGATTCTGAAGTGGAAGACTCAGAGAGTGCCGCATGTGAAGAAACCGTTTCTTCTTCTACAGATGCAGAGCCAAGTACATGAAGTTCATGAGTATTTGACTCAAGAAATACACTGCCAATGCTTATTACCTCCATTTCAGTTCTGTGTAGCAGTGCAAATAACTACATAACGGAAATGCTGGAATCACGTTTCTTTGACTACTGGGACCTGAATATTGTATTCAAATACTATATATTTTTAATCTGTGTTTTATGTAAATAATAGTTTTACTCAGTTGTCAGGTATGACTTACGTATATGGTACGATAAATAAACTTGAGTTTCCTATCTTGAAAAAAAAAAAAAAAAGAAGCCATTTCTACCCTTCTCCCTATATTATATTGCACACAGTCATAACAGTAGGCACCATAATGGAAGCATTTCAAGTTTGAACAGATAACAACACACTTGTGGCTCCCTCCCATCCAGGACTCACCTCGTTGAGATACATCACTGGGAAAACCATGGTTCTAATGTCTCCTGTTTCACTAAAAAGACAAAGGATTAGAAGACTTTAGAGACAGCCTCATTATGCTGGTGCACTCACCTGCAGAGACATATTTTGTTAAAAACTCCAGTATACTCATTTCATTCAATGACCTGGAGTTTGGGTAGGCTTCTTAGTTATCTTTGTAAACACATTTAAGTCAAATTCCAATGTGTCAGCCCTACAAGTGCAAGGGGCTCATCAAGTGATCTCTTTTCTAGAATCATCACAGGAAGACACACCTAGTGAAACAATACTTCTGCCATTGCTCAGGACATTTGCCATTTGGCTACTTATGGACTGTCTTCAAACAAGAGCCAGTTTAGTCCTTGCCATGTATTAGCTCTGTGCTGGGTGTCTTGGGGACATCATTTTATTCAATTTTTACACCAGCTATATGCAGTACATGTCATTACTGTCCCAGGTTTACTAATGAGAAAATTACAACTCAGAGAGGTCAGGTAGTTGGCCAGGATCACAAGGGAGTAGTGGATCCAGGGTTATAAGTCCATTTTGGGTCCAAGATTCCAGTTAACTACTAAATTATACTGCCTCAGAAATACATACCCAAGTCATAGAATGCTTCTCTCAACCCACATTTGCTTTGCAGAACTATGACATGTTTTTGAAGGTGACTGGATTAAGGGGTTTCTACGCTTATCATGGATTAATGTGCTGCTAGGACCAAGGGTCCAGATGGAGAAGATGGGTCACTGGGGCATGCCTTTGATGGGTATATCTGTCTCTCTGACTTCTTGGATGACAAGGGTTAAGCAGTTTTTCTCTCACCCTTTTCCATACGCAATATAAGCCTTGAATTAGCCTACCATGGGCTGAACCCTCTAAAAATGTGAGGCAAAATAAACCATCCAAGTTATGGATGTCAGGTATTCTTTTCCAAAAAGTTCACTGATAACAGTACATATAGGCTCCATCCTATTTTTTCACTTGTATTTTATCATAAGCATTTTTTCATATCCCCAAGAATTCCCATGAAAAGGAGCTTAGGAATTTGCATTAAGGAGTGGTTCATAAATGGAGTATGGGAGGCAGAAGCCTGACTCCAGGAGAGCTTGTGGCTGTTCCCAATTGGGAGCAAAGCAGGTAGAAAGAATGCAACCAGTCATGTGGGTGAAGGAAATGCCCAGTGGAATGGATAAAAACAGAGTCTATCCACATAGTCTTACGAGTTGTGGGAGTTCTAGCAAGTTATTTAAGTTCTCTTTGCCTTGATTTCCTCCACTGTAAAGTGAGGATAATACAAAGCTGTAATTTAATGCAAGTAATATGCTTAGAGCAATGTCTGAGGCATGGAAGCTACCTCATGTTTGATTAAATAAATCAGCAAATTCCAAGACTACCATAAAATTATGATTGCACCTCACCCCTGAAGGGTTGGAGTGAGCAGCTGGAAGTAGGCTATCTTCCTTCTGACACCAACCCCACCAGAAAGTCATGTAGCAAAACCAGTGTTTGCCCTCATAGAAAGAAGCAAAACTTACATGAAGTCATCTAACTTTTGGACATAAATGTTGATTTGGAACCTCTTCGCTGCTCTTAGGATAATTCCAGTCAACTGCAAATCAGAAATAAGAAGAAAATTTCAAGATTAAACCACAGAGCACCATTTCTGTGGATAAACAGGGTGGTCATTACATGTGTGACAGGCAGAGAGGTACAAAGGAAAACCAATCCCCAGAACAGAAGGAGAATTTGACCAATATAGTAAGATGAATGTGGGTCCTTGGGGGTCCTGTTAAAATGCAGGTTCTGAACCAGCAAGATAGCTCAGTGGACTAAGCACCTGCTTTGGCAAGCGCAGAGACCTGGGTTCTCTCCTGGGTCCTGCACACTGCGCCAGCCCCACTCCCAGGGCGTGCTGAGCTGATGACTGAGTCCAGATGTGGTGGCACATGCCTGTAATCCCAACGCTGGGGAGGCTGAGAACAGGGGGATCACTACGAGTCCACGCTGCATAGTGAGACCCTGTACCAAATACATAAAATGAAAATAAATAAATGAATGAATGAATGCAGGTTCTGATTCAGTAGGTGGGCATTTCTAAGAAGTGCCCACTTTGCATAGAAAGTCCAAAAGGACTCCAGTCTCAGGAGAATAGCCTACCAGGGCTAAAATGCAGGCAGCTGTCCAGAGCTCAGGAGGATGTAGGTCCTGTCAGGAATAGTATCCAAGTCTAGGGTCACCAAATGGAGCCCAGGAAAAGTGGTTGCTGTGCTTGTTTTTCCAAGCCCCACCTTTGCTCTGAGGTACAAGGTTATCCTTACCCCTAGGTGACAGACTCTGATTTCTCAGTCTAGATGCAGTGATTGTGGCTAAGCAGGAAATGAGCAGATGTGGTGCTAAGAGAATGTTTTGCTTTCTTTATTATTCCATGATGTTCAAAGTCCCAAAAATGAAGATATTTGACCTTTAATTTAGCTTCTACAGTTACAGACTCTCACATTCCTGCCACTTTAACATGATTATACTTGTTCTCTAGGAATTCAGGCATGGTGCATATGTATTCCATACTTTTTAAATTAGTAATATCATATAATCAATTCTTTTTTTGATACAGGATCTCGATATGCAGTTCGGACTCATAGTGATCCTCCTGTCAGCCTACCCAACGCTGAGATTACTGGCATGCACCACCATGCCTGGTTTTGGGGTGGGCACTGTGCGCCTGAGGTTCTGAAGCCAGCACGGCGTGTGGTACTGGAGATCAAACTCAGGACCGTGCACTTGCCAGGCAGGCACTTAGATTGCCGGGCTATCTCCCCAGCCCCCATATAATCAATTCTTAAAGGTACTTGTTAAAAGAAGTTTGCTACAGATGACTGAAGCTAACATAGATATTTAAATTGCAGCCAAAATATTCCTGGCAGTTGGTAAACTGTGTGCAACCTTCATTCTCCCTTATCTGTGTCCCAGTGAGAGAAATAAATCTCTGCTGGGGTCCAATGCTGGCCACAGAAGGCTGAGCAGGTAATACGGCTCCAAGCTCAGGTGTTTCCAATGACTGAGTTTTCACTGCTGCCTTTTGTTTGTTCGTTTAAAGCAGGTTTGCTGGTATTTCTGCATATTAGATCCATGGAATTTAGGCTTCTAATTCAGGGCTGCAAGACTATGCCTCAACTTGCAGTGAGCTACTTTCACCCCACTTGACCATACACATATAAAGAAAACAGCGTGTTTCTTGAGTGCTCAAGGATAAACGAGTGTATACTGCCAATACAGAGTAAAACGTGTTCTTTACTAGGAGGTATGTACTCACAGGATTAATGTCCACAAAAGTCTCGTGATCCTCCTTATTTGGATGCAGGCCTTGTATGGCAGAAATAAACCTCTCATCTGCTTGGTAAAAGTGTGGGAAAGACATAATAATGGGCGCACCTGCATTTCAAGGGAAATAAAAATTAATGATGCTGTTTTTCAAATCTGGCATAAATATAAAGTTCCTGGCCATAAACTTAGTGCCTAAAGGGTAGCAAATGTCTTAGCAAAGTAAACATGAGAAGGCGGGCAGCTAAAATATCTTTCTAGGCCTCCTACCTCAAGATTTATACTTTATTTTCTGCCATCTCATGTACACATATTATTTTACTCCCATTATATATTGAAGTCCTGACTAAATTATTTCTTCTTCAATAAGCATTTCCAAAAACTATTAAGTCTGCATTTTTTATATACCTGAATGCTCCAGCAGTCCTACAAAATTATAATTTTTATCCTCATTTTGTGTTGGAAGAAGCTGAAGTTCACAAAAGTTACACACTTTGCCCACAGACGAGACACTGTAAGGTTAGGGAGGCAGCTAATCAACAAAGCCGCCCACCACAAAGCACTCACGTCTGTTATAGTTCTGTACTTGTTAGTGGAATTTCTTTTCCTCCTAACCAAAGATGGATCTTGTTCTAGACATGCTGATGCTAGAACTTCTTAAGAGTTTGCCTGGTTGTGTGCTGTATGCTTAGCCACTCGCCAGAGGAAGCTCTCTCCACGTGAGGACTCAGGGTTTTTCTCCCTTTTCTATTCACTTAAAAGCCAAATGGGAAAACATTATTAAAAGCAAAGTATTCTAGGCCAGAATATTGAAAATAAGAGAATGACCCAATCCCAGCTAAATGGGAAATACATTTTTGGAACAAATAACCTATTGGCAAGTAATTTAAACTTGTTTACACATCACGATCCATGGCTCAAGGTACTCATCTTCTCTCACATGTGCAGCATTTTGCTCTTTACTGCTAAACAGTTCTACAAAATCATAATTTTCTTTTCTGTGACTTACAGTGACTTTTTAAATATATATTTAAGTATCTATGGAGGGTTTGATAAGAGCCAGACACTTTCCCGACTATGCTGCACACATTATCTCTGGCCCTCCTGCAACTTCGTTGATGTGAAAACTGCAATGTGCTACCCTCCTTACTCCAGGTGTCCCACTGGCTAACACACAGAATGGCTGGACTCAAACCTCAAGCTCCCGGATTCCAGAACTCGCTCTCCCACTATCTAAAATGTTCCCTGGAGAACTGGAAACTGAGGATAACCCTCAAGTTTTCAGCCCAAATTTGGGGATACACAGAAAGAGGAAAAGGACTTTAGCCAGAAGTCTGAGTGTTTCAAAGTGCAATCTTTCTGTTGGCTCTAGCATCAACTTCTCAAGGAAGAAGAATATTGAAGAAAAATGTATCCTTAACCTCAGCAGAGAGGGGGGGGCAGCCACCATCCTCTGTTAGCCTGCACCTCCAGGCAAGGGGGGCCTGCGTGCCCAGGCTCCAGACACCTAGACTCTATCTTCACGGGAATCACTGGGAGGGAGCACTTGTTAAATGTTTAGATTCCGGGACCTAGGACATACATTTTTAATAGCTTTCCAGATATTTCTGCTATAGGGCCAGGTTTGGGAGCCACTCCCTTATCAGACAAAAATGAGTAGGTCTGCTGGCCTCAGATTTCTCCAAAAAGGAGATATTATTGATGTTTTCTTTTAGACACAGGGGTGGAAGGCATGAGATAGGGAGTCATTATGTAGTTCAGGCTGGCCTTGAACTCACTATATAGCCCGGGTCTGGCCTTGAATGTTCAGCCTCCTAAGAACTAGGATACAAGCATGCACCACCATGGCCAGCTCTGAAAGGAGATTTTAAAGCCAATTGTACATTACTTTATTTAGGAGAGAGGGGTGACAAAGACAAAGTTTCTCCAGGGAAACTTTACACGGGAATTAAACCCTAAAAAGGGAACAGGTACAAATATGAGAAGCCTCTTAAGTCTAGCAAAGATTTTCTGAGAAGTAATGGTTTTATAAATAGCATATTCCCTCTCTGGGCCTTGGTTTCCACAATTATAAAATGAAGTCACTGAACATCAAAATAGTAGACTATCATGAATAATTTTGCAATAAGTCTACTGGTAAAACTGGTCTATAAAGAGATACCACTGTCTGTGGTCTCAATGATAATTCTGCCTCACTGATGAAGAAGAGTAAAGAGCTCAGACATTAAGATATACTGGGAAATTTGTGGTCAGGGTTTAAAACTAACTCAGCTTCAAAATATTGAGAGTCTTTGCTAAAATAGGTACTTTCTTAAAATCAATTTGTCTAATGTCTCAACATTGTTTGAAGCCTGCCTCAATTAATGCTATACATGTCGTAACAGCAGACAGTAAATATGAGCCTTTGTTACAGACAAAGCTCCTACACTACTCAGAAAAAGACCACATGCCATCCTAAAAATAGAGCATCACAGAAGAAGAAGAATTTTAAAATCATTTCATAGGCTGTAATAAACACACTTGTGAGAGGTTGTAATTGCTCTTCCTATTGGCTGCCACCCTGACCCTTCTTGCACTCCAAGCCCTCCACATGCTGCATGGCCCTCATCCGAGCCCCTCTCTTGTTCTTACCATTCTTGCAGATGCTGACATTCAGCACTCCAGAGCCCAGGCAGTTGCCTTTAGGGAGGCAGAAGCCAGCATTTTCTGAGGTATTGGCTAGTATTTCTGCAGGCACCTTATACCGAAAGGCAGGCAGCCCCTCTACTCTCTCATAGTCACTGAAAGTTATATACACAGACCTGTCAGGATATGAGAGAGAAAGTCAGTGTGCACTGTAGGCAGTAAGGTCCACCCAAGTCGCTGAGCAGCAGGTGTCAAGCACAACACCGCTAGAGACTTGCGGGGTTTACGTGGAAAATAAGGATGCAAAAAACTGCTTGGAACAAGCCCCACCATCTCAGCATGACAAGGCAGATAATCTGTAATGAAAGATGTTTCAGAGGTGGCAATTATGCTAACAAGGTGAACAAGGCCAAGAGAAAACAATGTGAGTTGGAAAATTAAGACAGCAACATGTAAGCCAGGTGTGCTGGTGTACACCTGTAATGCTAGCTACTCGGGAGGCTGAGGCAGAAAGATGGCTTAGGCCTGGGAGTTTGAGGCCATCTTGGACAACACAGACCCTAACAGTCAGTCAATTAGTAGGACCCAAGTATTATTTTAAAATGCCTTTAAGAGCTCATCTTTACAATTCTAAATGCTGATTTACACAGACTAAATAAATCTACTAAGACTAATAATGAAAGCAGTTGCCACCACGTGTATGTATGTTTGCCACTGGTCTGAAGATGTTATAAATACTGACTCATTTAGAATGGAGATACTGCACTAAAACATGAAGAGTCCTGTCAACGAGCAGGGAGCCAGGCCATGGTGGGAAGCAAGAGCAGCAAGGGGAAGGCCCCCAGGCTCAGCCCAGTAGGATCTTGAGGGTCTGAAAAAAGCCCCATTGGATGGACTATAGAGACAGGGTCTCGTGAGGCTTCCAGGCCAGCCTCCTCCCAGGTAACCGGGCTTTCACGGGTGCCACCACGACACAGGGCTTTTGGCGTGTGACAGCATGGATGCACCTCTCATGGTTGTGACTGATTTGGGAACTGCCTTCTGCTGCACATTCTCCCCACAACATTTATTAAGGAAGTACCTTAGCCAAACAAAAAATACTGTAACACATAAAACTGATACTTGCTATATAATGTTCTTGGTCCCATCTTTCTCTGCCTGCCCTGAGGAAATTTCTCTTGGAATATGGGGTCTCTCACCCCAGGCAGCTCTTTATACTTTTTCTGATGTGTGTTCACTAATAATACATGTCATTATTTGTGATTTTAAGACACTATAAATAGTATACCATATTCTCATTCCATGATTTACATCATTGATATATTTTCAAGTTTTTTAAAAAGTACATAGCTATGGTTCTTTTAAGTCTTATATAATATTATATCACATAACTATATCATAATATACTATTCTCTCTCCCCTCCTCTTTCTCTTTGTCTCTCTCTCTCTCTCTCTCTCTCTCTCTCTCTCTCTCTCTCTCTCTCTCTCTCTTTTATTCAGGCTGGCCTAGAAGTGCAGGTTGGCCTACAACATGAACCCAAAGGCACTCTAACACTGAACTAAGTCCTAACCATGTCCTATTCTTTAGAGATAGGGTCTCACAGAATTGCCCAAACTGGCCTCAAACTTGTGATCCTCCCAAGTAGCTGGAATTACAGTCATACATCACACCTTACCGGCCTATGTTCTCCCATTTTTACATAAGCATAAGCTGATTCTGATTTTTGCTATGATAAACCAAGGTAAAAATGTCTGTGTCCCTTTGAGTGCATATAGAAGAATTTTTGTGCAGGAACCTACCTTGGAGAGAACTGTGCAATCACAACCTTGTACCTCTGTGGCTTCACTGAACTTGCCCATGTGTCTCTAAAGCTCTTCTACCACACAAAGTGTGCTTCCTCTGTGCCAAATCTTTAAAACCTGCCTCCAGCCTTCTGTACATCCCTGTTCCACACTACTGGGATACAGCCATCCCCCTTATCTCCCAGAAGATATTCACTACCCAGGGGGCTAGAAAGGCCTACGTGGGATGCAGTGAGTGGGGGGACTCTGAGCTGTTTCTTAAGGAAGCCACAGTGCCCGGTGCCTGCATAAACACAAGAGGGGAGGTGATCTAGCTTCACCAATTTCTAGCATGGCTTCTGGGTGGGTAATGTGACTATGAGACAGGAGCCCCTGGTGGAAAGCATAATGGTATTCAGCAGGGTCTAAGGCAATTAGGTCCTTCTGTGTGCTCCCCAGGCTATCAAGAAGACAGAGCTATAGCCTCGGTCCCTGGTCCACAGTGTGAGGTGAAGGCAGGAGAGGAACTGTTCTCTTGGGAGACTTTGCATGGTCACTGCAGGAAGGAGGCAAGGTCACACAGAAAGGGGGTGACAGCTAGGCCAGTGTTGTGCACTCTGGAACATTCAAACTCGCATTCATTTCCTCTGAAGGGCAAGGCTCAGAGGTGAGTTCACCCTTGATGAGCACATTGCACAACTCAGAGCCAGTGCTTGGTATCCTGCATGTGGACAATATCTCCCCTGGGCTTGTAACCAAGTAAAGGTAGGTGCCTGTTTCTAATCTTATCATACAAATGCTGCAGGTGAGGCAGTCAGTGGTCACACAGCTGTTGAATGTGAGGCTGAGCCATACCAGGACAGTGAGCTGGGGTTGGTGCCAGGAACACCCCCCCCACACACACACACACACACATGCACACCACCCTTGGCACCTCATTATCCACCCCTGCTACTCAGAACAGAGAACACGCCTAAAGAGCGTGTTCATGACCCTCAGAGTCTGGTGGTCTTGTGGTCACAGACTCTGTTTTAAAAAGAATGCATTCTTACAGCTCCTACCTGCAGAAGTCAGATGGGAAGACATAAAGCACTTCATCTTCAGTTACTAGTGGGTGAAAAGAATCTCCATCTGTCCCATTAATCATATTGCACTTGTCTGTTGCCCACCAGTCAAGTGACCTACAATTGATAAATGCAAGGAAAAGTAAAAATCAAGTTGCACCTCAGGTACCCTAACTACTGGAAGGACTTTCGTGATGTGCCAGAGCCAGTCACCCACAGAATCTTTTTCTTTCTTTCTTTCTTTTTTTTTTTTCCAGTACTGGGGATTGAACTCAGGACCCTGAGCTTCTGAGGCAGGCACTTATTCTACTGAGCTATCTCCCTGGCCCCTATCCACAGCATCTTATTCATAATAGGCACATGAATGCAGGGGAGTACACGGGGAGAGAAAAAGGAGACCCCTGGGCCCAAATCAATTTTTTTTCTTTTATAATACTGGGGATTGTACATCCCTAGCCCCAGCCCCTCCACATACAAACACAAACACAAACACACACACACACACACCACACACACACACTTCTTTGGGTTTGTTTGTTTTGTTCTTAAGACAAGGTCTTTCCAAGTTACTAAATTGCCCAGGTTGGGCTTGAGTTGGGATTGATCCTCTGGTCTCAGCCTCCCAGTGTGCTGGGATTAAAGGTGTGTACTACCATGTCTGGTTCCAAATCATTTTTGATAAAGGGTAACTGCCCAGAATCTCTACTTTCTTTGTCCAAAAAGTAGGTCCTACCTAGAGATCTACAAATACTGACTGACTTAATGCAAAATAACCCAATTTAGCAATAATACCCTCCCTGTCTATAGCCAAGCCACAGACACTGTGCTGGCAGACATATCCAGTCCTTCATGTTCACAAAGACTGGAACTCAGTCTAGTCTACATTCTGAACAGTGCCCCTTCCAAAAATAACAGAGGACTTTTCTTGGAAGACAAGAAAATTCAATATGCTCACTAAAAGCACAGTTGACACAGCATGTCTTTAAAAATTGGTCTTTAAATTGATGAGACATGGGCTCAGCTATATAAGTGCCTGCTCAACAAATGCAATGTCCTGAATTCAATCCCCAGTACCCAAATAAACAAACTAATTAAAATAAAACGAGACATTCATTGGACTGAATGTTCATGTCACTGTTCTCTTGTTGAGTCCTAACCTACAAAGAGATGGCAATAGAAAGCGAGCACTTCAGGAGGTGACTAGGTCATGAGATCAGAGCCCTGATAAGTGAGATTAGTGTCCTCACAACACAAATGCCCCCGTCACCCTTGCTACCATGTGAAGGAGCCGTAGGAAGATAGCACCTGTGAACCCTCAGGCACCAGATCTGCAACTGCCTTCATCATGGATTCCCAGCATCAAGAACTGTTAGAAATCAATTTATGTTTATAAACCCCTCTATGACAATTTGTTGCAGGAGTTTGAAGGGGCTAAAACAGTACAAAATGTGAAGAAAAAAAAAAGGAAAAATCAGGCAATTCCCAGTTGTCTCCCCCCCCCCGGGGGGGGAGGACTGACCTAAGTGCTAATTCAGTGACTTGCTAAGTTTCTCACCTTAAAATAAAAAATAAATCCTACTGTGATGGCACACACGTGCAGTCCTAGCCCTCAGCCAGCTTGTTCTGCATAGTGAGTTTAAGGATAGCCTGAACTACAGAGCAAGATAATAAATAAAAGTAAATAAAAACAGTTGGAGACGTAGCTCAGTATGAAGGCCCTGGGTTCAATCCCCATTACTGGGAAAAATGGTTAAAAATGATGAGATATAAAAAAAGGAGGAGGAAAGAATGAAACAAGAATAGGAAGATACCAAAATGGAAGAATTAAAAAATCTTGGGAGGAAAAAATAGTTTTGGGAAGAAAAAATATAGAAACTCTAAGTTGCACATAGCTCAAAACAGAACTGATGAATTGTAGGAGGAATACAGGGAATGGGGGACAGAGAGTGAGACAGGGTGAGTACCAGAGGAGCAGTGGGTGAGGAGAAAACTGCTGAAACTCTTCCAAAATTTCAGAAAGACCCAAGCCCATGGACTGAAAGTGTGTCTCAAGCGCCAAAGAGGCTAGATAAATTCAACTCTGGTTATGTTATAGTCACTGTACAAGTTCAAGGATAAAGATAAATGCCAAACATCAATGGAGTTCAGCAGCATAAGTGCCTGCTTGGCATGCTCAAGGTCCCAAGTTTGATTCCAGGTACCACCACCAAAACAAAAAGTCAGTGGATGGGGCTGGTGAGATGGCTCAGTAGAAAAAGCGCTTCCCTGGCAAGCACAAGGGCCTGAGTTCAATCCCCGGTTCCACCAAAAAAAAAAAAAAAAAACATATAAAGTTGGTGGAGTAATTTCATGATAGTTTTGAATTGTCCGCTTAGAATTTGGTAACTGGCTAAAGTCACTCACAGCTGAGAAATATTAAAA